GCTTGTGGCTACTAGGTGTTGTCTCGAGGCCCACACAGTGATAGCACTTGTTTGAACATCCCTTATGTTGATTTTTCAAGGAGTCTGATGATAGTTTCCTACCCCACATCTAGAAAATAGAAATGAAGTAGTAGAAAAAACTAAGTTACTGAGAATCAGAGAGACATTCTGTGATTTATCCTCAAGTTTTACCACTTGCAGACATGTGACCTCCTGCAAGTTACTTAAGCCCATATTCCTCATTTTTAAAATGGAATATTTAAAAATATGTTAAAGATATTATATATATATATATACACACATATATATATAGAGAGAGAGAGAGAAAGGAGAGAGAAAGGGAGATAGAGACAGAGAGACAGAGAGAGAGACAAAGAGAGACAGAGACAGAGAGACTACATATATATATATGTATATACACACACACACACACACACACGGTAAAGCGAAGCATCAAGTTCATGACCAATAAATATTAGTAACCCCTTAGGATGCAAGTCACCTAATATTTCTGCAATTTGGACCTTTGAGCAAGAGATAAATGCTTTGGTAAATATTCTTCTCCGCTGGCAAAATCTAATGCAAGCATCAGTTGACTTATTTATCAAGATTCTCTCCTGTATTTCAAAACAACTATTGGACAGCTCTGTATGTGTGTATAAATATTGTCTCAAATTCAAAATATCTGAGGCTAAATCATTTTCCCTAAACTAAGTCCCACATTAGAATTTTACATTTCTAAAAGGAGCCACATAATTCACCCAAATTATCTAGACTCAGACTCTGGTAATGCCAGAGTAGATATTTCAACTAACCCTCCTGCTAAGTATAATTTTAAAAACTTGACAAAGTATTTTTTTCCCTTAGTCTTAAAGACATTGGAGCATTTATAAGTCACTAAGGAATTGTCGAGCCAATGTCCAGAAGAGTTGGTAGCCAATATCAATGGCCATGTTTCCCAAAAAGAATCTTCTATTTTTCTTTTTTTAAATGTTTTTATTTATTTTTGAAGGGGAGAGAGAGACAGAGCATGAGTGGGGGAGGAACAGAGAGAGAGGGAGACACAGAATCTGAAGCAGGATCCAGGCTCTGAGCTGTCAGTACAGAGCCCAATGCGGGGCTCGAACCCATGAACTGTGAGATCATGACCTGAGCTGAAGTCAGACGCTTAACTGACTGAGCCACCCAGGCGCCCCGAATCTTCTATTTTTCTAAAGGACTATACTATGAGAAGGTCAAACATACCCTAATTGGAGTCTCAAAACGAGACAACAGTGGGGGCACCCGGGTGGCTCAGTCAGTTGAGCTCCTGACTGCAGCTCAGGTCATGATCTCATGGTTCATGAGTTCAAGCCCTGCATCAGGCTCTGTGCTGTCAGCACAGAACCCAACTTGGATCCTCCATTCCCCTCTCTCCCTGCTTCCCCCCACTTACCCTCCCTCTCTCCAAAACTAAAATAAAAATATTATTTGAAAAAAGGAGGTAAGAATGGAAACACTTGAAAACATAATAGCCAAGAGGTTTTTTTTAAGACATTAAACCAGAGATTCAAAGTTAAAACTCAAAAGTATAGAAGCATAAATTTTTAAAAATCACAACTACACACATCACACTAAAAACAGAACTTTTGACTAACGACATCCATTGCCTTGTACCACCTTACTTCTTTTGTATTTTTTTAATATAATTTTTTAATGTTTATTTATTTTTGAGAGAGACAGAGACAGGGCATGAGTGGGGGAGGGGCAGAGAGAGAGGGAGACACAGAATGCGAAGCAGGCTCCAGGCTCTGAGCTGTCAGCACAGAGCCTGACGCGGGGCTCGAACTCACAAACCGTGAGATCGTGACCTGAGCCAAAATCAAGAGTCAGACGCTGAACGGACTGAGCCAGCCAGGTGCCCCTGTACCACCTTAATTCTAATCTTTATTTTTTCACATGTAGACTAATTATGTACCAACTATCCTCTGTTTTTCCCTCCTTTACATAACTTTTAAATTAATATGCCTAAAACATCATTTGTTACCCAAAAACACCTCAAGATTTTTTTGATAACCTCTCTCCAAACTGCTTTTGCCCAAAGGAGTATTAATTAAGAAAGCTCAACCACGACAGAAGGGCACAGTGCTTAAGAGTATGATCATCTCCAGGGGTGCCTGGGTGGCTCAGTCAGTTGAGCCTCCGACTTTGACTCAGGTCATGATCTCATAGTTGACGAGTTTGAGCCCCGTGCCGGGCTCTGTGCTGACAGCTCGGAACCTGGAGCCTGCTTCAGATTCTGTGTCTCCCTCTCTCTCTGCCCCTGCCCTGCCCCTGCCCTGCTCCTGCTCTGTCTCTCTCTGTCTCAAAAATAAATAAACATTAAAAAAAAAATTTATGATCATCTCCAGGTTAGGGTCCGGCCCACAGTGAGTGCCTGAGTACTCCTTGGTGAAGGGTAGGCACATGTGGATAATTGAGAGGAAATGATGTCATTCTATAACCAATTAGAAGTGTAAGTAATAATAGTGACTAACACTTACATTGCTTTTCTTTTTTAAATTGCTTATTTGTTTATTTTTGAGAGAGAGGGAGAGAGAGAGAATCCCAAGCAGGTTCTGTGTTGTCAGCACAGAGCCTGACATGGGGCTCAATCTCACGAACCCGTGAGATCGTGACCTGAGCCAAAATCAAGAGTCGGATGCTTCACCAGCTGAGTCACTCAGGGACCCCTTATTTCTTTTCATATGGGTTCTCCTATAGGTTTATACATTTCGAGTCTTTGAATCCCCATAAATCTTTGTGATATACTGTTAGAATCTTCATTTAGCAGTTGGGGAAACTGAGGCATAGAAGTGGTAAGTAACTTGCCCAAAGTCTTGCAGGTAAGTGGCAAATTTAGGCTCTGGACCCAGATATCTGGCTCTGGAATTCATGCTCTTCATGCCTATGTTATGCACGGCCTCAACACGTATGAACTGGTTTTCAAAGAGAATCATACCATGACTGAGCTCACGGCAGAAATTTAGGGTTCAAGACAGAAATGTTCACTATGTTTAGGGTTAATCTGTCACCTTGCAAGAGTGAGATGAAATGTGTGAGATCACACAGGGACTAAGGGCTGGACACCAATCCCAACATTATTATTAAAAGAATCACAATTTAGAACACATCTCTTTCTGGGACTACCGTTATTTCCCTGATTTTGTATGATAATAAGCAGTGACAAAAGTTTTTCAAGGATTTTACAGGAAGTTACTCTACGACCTACCTCGAACAAGTCCTCCTTGCAAAGCAGTTGAAAACTGGGCTAAGCGTAATCCATTTGGTTTACTTTTCTCCTTCCAGTAACGCTATTTGGCATCTTTCTTTTCCCTTTATGAGGGTATTTGAGCTTTCATCTGCTGGTTTTAATTTAACTTGTCATATTTCTATTTTTTTGTGCATGTGCCCAGAGGCCTTTGGGAAAAGGACATATTTTTTAATAATTCAAAACAATAAAAACCAGAAAGGTCAACTTAAGTCAATTAGTCACGTTTTAAGCAATCTAAGTAGAAGACAAGAAATTCACTTCCAACCTTCAAGTTGTTCTCTTGAAGGCTGCTAACACTGGAAATAGACAAGGGCATTCCTGAACAGAGGGAATTGAAATGATCAAGGCCATGGGCATGGGTAACTCACTGTTGTGGTAAGTTGGAGGCTTTTATGTAATGCACAGATGACAAAATACACTGGAATTCTAGGAGCGCCGAATGCCCTAACTTGATTCTGTATACACCAGTGAATTCTACTAAAACTGACCTTTTCTTTTTTTCAAGCTTCTTTATTTTGAGAGAGAGGGAGAGAGAACCGGGGAGGGGCAGAGGGAGAGGGAGGCACAGAATCCGAAACAGGCTCCAGGCTCCGAGCTGTCAGCACAGAGCCCGACACCGGGCTCGAACCCACAAACTGCGAGATCATGTCCTGAGCGGAAGTCGGACGCTTAACCCGACTGAGCCACCCAGGCGCCCTGACCGTATATATTTCTTCAAGTCGTGGCCTGAAGAGTCCGTTTCATTCTCTGGCTTGTCACATGGCTGTATTCTTTGAGGAAAAATATCTCATAAGAGCTTAACCACCTTATATTTTAGAATATAAAATATTCACCCCCGTTATCCTCTAAGCACACCTTCTTAGTTTTGCTCCTGACGCTTATGTTTAAAAATCCATTAATTATATTGTTACCAGGTTGCTACCTTGTCTGCCACCTACCTCGTCACTAGATCACAGGCTCCATGAAGGGAGAAACTCTATCTCAGCTCACGACTCTATCTCCAGCACTGACACAGCACCAGAGACATAGCCCCAGCTCATACTTGGTGAACGGTTGACCTTCCTTCCATCCTTATCTCTCTTCTTTTTTTCTTTCTTGCCTAATGATTTGCAAAGCTGTAATAAGGGGGGGAAAAAGATGGTGATGACTGTAGGAGAGATCAACGCAGTTTGGGGAAACACTTAAATGAAAAAAAAGTCATCTAAATGGTTGTGAGATGAAACCACTTTTCCTGAGAAAATTCCATAGGATCCCAGACACTAGAGGGCAGTCCTAGGCACCCTTGTGGTGTCTTCCAAAGGGAATACACACAGCAATCTAGCCTGGGGTTTAAAATACACTCATACTAATAAACCAGATGCCCCAGCATTCCCCTCCCCCTGAAACTGGAGGACTTCCTCCATGGCTTCCCACCGACTTTAGGAGAGTGTCGATGCCTCCCCTGAGTCCTTCAGCCTTCCCCAAGGGCTATATATATGAAGGAGGTGTCTGGCTGCTTCGGGCCATAGCTGCTGTCTCTGGCCCACACCATTGCTCCTTTGTCTTACCCTGGGTCCACGGGAAAGCCTCTGCCTTCAAGTCCTGGTGCAATGACCTACATGTTTGTGTCCTCCCCCCGCCCCCCCAATTCATATGGTGCTAGCTCCCAGTGTGATGGTGTTAGGAGGTTACCTTTGGGAGGTAATTGGGCCGTGAGGGTGGAGGCCTCATGAGGAGGATCCAGGTCCTCTGGAAGGAACCCCAGGGACCTCCCTCACCCACGTTTGGCCATGTGGCCATGACAGAAAACAAGAAAAAGGCTGTCCACGACCTGCTAAAGGGCTCTCACCAGAACCCAGCCGTGCTGGCAAACCAATTTCGGACTTTCAGCCTCCAGAACTGTGAGAAATAAATTTCTGTTTGTGATAAGCCACCCAGTCTGCGGTATTTTGTTTTGGTAGCCCAAAGGGACGAAGTCATCAGGCATGTGCACAGGTGGGGAAATTGGCTCATTCCCCATTTTAAGTGACCCACTTTCCCCAAAACTAGCGGGGTACTTGCCCTGAACCACGTTACGGTGTTAACCTTATTGAAATTTAATAATAATCACAAGCCCCCTGGATATATCCCGACAGCCTTACTTGGCACTGGGGACGTGGGTGGCAAACATAAGCTCTGGGAGAACTGGATTCCCAGTTGCCATACTCCAAGTTTACAGCTAAGATGTTGTGAAGTTCCCCCCCAGAAGTTTGCTTTAGTCACTGCGGCCAGTAGTAACCTAAAAGGCCCACCTCACCAACCCATCAGACAAGCGTAGGTTGGATTCAGGAGCCAAGGGTGTCCCTGGGGCTTTGCCTCTTAGGAAGATTTCTTTAGGCCCAAACATCTAGGATTTGAACAAGCACTATTTTCCCTAGTCACCTTTAGAGGAAGACGCGTTTTGTTTATTTTTATTTTTGTTTAAAGCAGAGCCGTATTTAAAAAGGCTCATTCTAAAAAGAGATCAAGTCGGAGTCTGTTTTTGACTAGTGGGAATTTTCCTTCAGCTAAACTATTGGCTGTGCTTGAAAATATGCCAACACGGGGACCGTGTCTGCAGCGCTTTGAACTTAAAAGCGGCTAGTAAAGTGGTGAAGGGAGATCACAAAAGAGAGCTGCAAACAAAATTACCAAAAAGATAATTACTGTAGGGAGAGTCGCCCTCCAGGTACCAGAACAGAAAAGTTTCAGACATAAGCTTATGTTAGCAGCGACACGACGGATTTCAAAGTTTGCCCTCAGTAAGTTTAACTGACCAGTTTCTAGTAACAGTTGTTTCTAATAATGCAGAAAAACTGAGCATCGTGGAGCAAATGAAAAACCCAAGACCGGGGTGCCTGGGTGGCTCAGTCGGTTAAGGAACCGACTTTGGCTCAGGTCATGATCTCGCAGTTTATGAGTTCCAGCCCCACGTCGGGCTCTGTGCTGACAGCTCAGAGCCTGGAGCCTGCTTCTGATTCTGTGTCTCCCTCTCTCCGCCCCTCCCCTGCTTGCTCTCTCTCTCTCTCCCTCTCTCCCTCTCAAAACTAATAAACATTGGGGCGCCTGGTGGCGCAGTCGGTTAAGCGTCCGACTTCAGCCAGGTCACGATCTCGTGGTCCGGGAGTTCGAGCCCCGCGTCGGGCTCTGGGCTGTTGGCTCAGAGCCTGGAGCCTGTTTCCGATTCTGTGTCTCCCTCTCTCTCTGCCCCTCGTCCGTTCATGCTCTGTCTCTCTCTGTCCCAGAGGTAAATGAACGTTGAAGAAAAAAAAAAAAAATTAAAAAAAAAACAACTAATAAACATTAAAAAAAATTAAAAAACAACAACAACAAAAACCCCAAGATCACCTCCATTACCCAATATACAAGATGAGATTGAAAAACTACCATTTGTTTTGGGTGCATTCGTTTTTAAGGCTGATGGAAACTTCAAGAGCACACTATTGTTACGTCGCTTTATTTTGTAAATGGTTTAATTAACATATTGAAAACATGGTTGTATGAATGAAATAGTCCTGTGGGGACTCTCCTACCCCCTGATTTGAAGGCAGGATCGCAACTGATCCTTTAAAGAAATAGATTTAAACATGGTAGGAATAACGCTTGGTTATTAAGTTACAAACGTATTTGGTCTTCTGTTAAAAAATATGTATGCACTAATGGTCAAATGTTTTGGCATCTCTATTTTTAAGTACTCAGTGCATGGCTACAACCCAGAGATCATTTTTTTCCTGTGGTGCTTTTTCCTTATTTATTTTTGGAGAGTTGGGGCCAAATCCTTTCCATCTTTGACCTTTGGGTTCTTTTCTTTTTCAGGAAAACAACAATGTATACCTTTCCCAGGATTAAACATACACACGTACTCACATGCCTGATAAACAGTTCCCAGACTTGCTCTTCTGACAAATAAATCACTGCTGGTAGATCTTTAAAACGTCAAACTTCTCATTCAGCCTGAGACCTGTCACTGTTCATGTGTTTCTTAGACAGCACCCCAGGCCTTACTGATTGGCATGGTTCCACGTGTCAGAGTCGTGAAATGTACAAGACACCTAAGCAGACTAACCCTGTCCCTGCGATTGTTACAGGGTTTTGTTTGTTTTGTTTGTTTTTTGGCTTTTTTCTCCCCCTGTCTTCTTGGGGGATTTACTGCTCTCCCAGGCTTCTGGCCTCCCAGGGAGGTCACAGGCTTCCTGTCTTTGGACACCGGGGTGCCACCAAACCTTGTTCCAGGACCTCCTGGAGAAGTATTCATCTGCTTTATGCCACCTCTCCACCACTACTCACAGGCAGGCCCAAAAGGTTAGCCCAGAAGAGCTTACTAAATCTAGAAAGGTGACTCCTCATTATTATCCTAACTTAAAAAAAAAATTCTTACAGACCTAATAATAGCATGGGGAACTGGTTTTGATATCTGACCTTGCTCTGTAAATATGTATATTGTTGCAATTCCCCAAACCTTAATGGGCAAATATGTATATTGCTCTGTAAATATGTATATTGCTCTGTAAATATGTATATTGTTGCAATTCCCCAAACCTCTCTATAGAGTGCAAACTGACACTATTAAAAATGTAGGCATGTTGTGTAAGTTAAGAACAAGTGTGTATTAGAAAAGACTAACAGTACATATACCCAATTGTATGGCAATGAGTAGAATTTTCCTTCCCTACCTACTCTATCTTGAATAAAAAGATGAAGAATACACTGGAAATACTGCAAAGCAAGGGGATACCTTGGTGATAGGCTGCCATATAGAAATCAAAGCATTTTATAATATATAGCTACTTCTGTCCACGAAGTCAGTATGGGGGCCAAGAGCTCGTCTGATATAACATTAGTTCTTTCTACCAATTTAGGTATTGTTTTCCTGCCAAAGACTTGCCTACAATATGAGGAATTTCCAAATTTCATCATGTCAGTGTCAGCAAATAAGGAGTTGAGGTTATTACCCCCTAGTCTCAGTGTTAGCCACAGCTCTGAATGTGCCCCTGTGTATGTTGCAGATGAATTACTCATTGAGATTTACTACAGGGAACATCACTTTTATTAACATTGTAACCTGACCTGAGTTGCAGACTCCCTGTCCAACACAAAAGGACTCTTGGCCCGAGAAAAACGTTGTCTACCATTTACTCTTAAGTCCTTGTCTGGGAAAGGACCATCCAGTTAGGAAATTATCCAGATGTGATGATATTGCCAGGTAATCGGATAGCCTATTAATTTTTACTATTGTTACAGGGATAAGACAAGAAGGATAATGACATAAAATTCAAATCAGTCCACCAAGTGAGGTCTGATGCGACAGAAATGAGAAATTCCAGCTTTCCAGTGGGCTCAGAGTCTTTCTGTGGATAGCCTCCCAGACCTGCACTGCCAGACTGACTACTGCCTGGGATGTACGCTTCCAGAGCCTCTGGAGGCTCCCACGCCTGTAACTCAGATTCAACAAAGGCAGCCTCTGACTCACCACGTGACCCCCATCCTCTCCTTGCCCATTGCTACAGTTTGTAGTCTTCTCTTCTAAGTGGACACTTTCGGACTCACCTTCGACTCTCCTTCACTTTCATTCTGCCATTAATCTCTGACCTTTTCCCTTCTCATTAGCATGGTGGCCTTCCTTCCCTTTTTCTTTAATCAGGTCCAGGTCCTCGTCCCCTGTTAACATCTGGGCAAGAGCTTCTTGGCTTTCCTTGTCTTCTAACAACGGCCACGCCCCTCCGCCCCCGTCCCGCCCCCTCCCCCACACCTCCCTGCCAGAAAATGTTTTGAATCCCTGTGGGTATGTCATGCCTCTGCTCTAGAACTGGCTCTCTTAGGCTCAGTAAATGTTCTTGTTTCCAAGATCCTCTCTGTTTGCCCCGGAGATATGCATCCTTTTTATTTCTCCTGATACTTCCCAATCCTTCTTTATTCATCCCTATAATGATATGTTTCTCTCCTTTCCAGCCTGGTGTTGTTAACATCTTTTTCCTCAAGGTTCTCTCCACGCTGCTCAAATCTCTTGAGCTTTCTCTCCCTATTCCAGTTGCAGCCCAAGTCTACATCTGCCACCAAATCACCTTCAAATTCTTTTTGGGTGGAAACTGCTCACCTTCTTGTCTAGCCCCAGCCCCACCTAGGTTAACGCCATTGCTGCTCTGTTGGCGCATTAGCCCTGCTTCTCCCCATAAGATGAGCTTGTAGGTCACCATGCTTCTTTCTCCTCCTCTTCACTATTCTTCATTCCCTCCCCCTGAATTGAGGGAGGAGGCAGGCGGTGGTGTGATCGGCTACATGTCCCTGCCTTTGGAACTGAAGTTACACTCCTGCAGTTTCCAGCCCATACCTTATCCTCCCCGACCCTAGGGTATATTTTAAATTGAACATTTCTGACTTTTACGTTTTGATCACTCAGCTTACACCGGGTCACCTGAAGATTTAGCACCGTGGGAGACATTTTAAGACCCAAATAAAAGCCTCGAGGTTTTGTTATTTTTCTAGCCAACCTCTATTCCATTTGGCGGCTGGAGCATACTTTCGTCCTATGTGTGGTTGGTTGGGGGCGTAGTTTGAAACCAATGGCCCAGAATTCGAGGTGTGGTGATTCCATAGGGGCCTGAGATGCGACTGCGGGGACAGAAATAATACAGGCGCCTGGCGCCGGGTTTCTCTCAGCAGGGGCGTGTATGGGAGTCACCCTGCCCCTGGCCACACCTTCCCCCCGGCAGGTGCAGCCCGGTGGAGTTGCCGCTGGAGGCGCTTCGGCGAGCGCCGGCCCGCCGCCCGCCAGAGGGTTGAAACCGTCGCATGCCGAGCCGGCTTTGGGGAGCAGGCGGGGGACTGCAGAGGGACGCGCGGAGTGCCCGGGGTTGTCACCGACGCGCCGCGCGCACCGACCCGGGACGCGAGACCGGGGAGCGCCGCCCGCCGCCCGCCATGGAGCCGCGTGCCGCTTCCTGCCTCTGCCCCTGGTGACTGCCGGGGCGGAGGCGATAGCCTGCCCGGGCCTGCGGCTCCCGGGATGTGGGCGGCAGTGGCTCGCGCCGCCTCTCTGCCCAGGCCTTCTCTCGGTCGTCGGCAAGGCATGGGCGGCAGGGACCCTGCCTGCAGGTGGCGTTCAACTCGATCGTGGGACAAGCTCACCATAAAACCGAGGGCAGCTACTTGGCTACGCAGGACTCCACATGTAATCTTCGCCGTCGTGTAAGTCGCCCCGCGTGAGTGGCAGGCAAAGGGGTAGCCCGGCCAGGTTGTCCCAAGCCCAAGTCTGGGTGGGGAAATTCAAGTGCCTGAAAGTTCCCAGCAGTGCGCCCGATGAGGGAGGTTACTAGATCTCCGTCTCCAAGCAGTGCAGCACTTAGTCCTCCTCGGCTGTCCCCCCCCCCCCTTCCATGCTAGATGTGCCTTGTGAACTTTGAATTAATGATGTGCCACTTTAAATTAATGATGTGCCACTTGTGTAGAACACGCAAGTCCGGGGCGGGGGGGAGGAGGGTGGCTCCCAGGACTCGAGCAAAGACCCGAGCCTCGTACAAAGGGGAAAACGGGACCGAAAAGATCCAAGTCTGTTTATGCGTAGCCTGTAACAATTAAGCGTCTGGGCGCAAGTGCGGTCTGCTGCAAGCGGCTGGGCTCTGCCCTTTGCTATTTTTTCCCCTTCTCTCATCTCACTGCATACACAGCTCCACCTAGAGAAGAATTGGGACTATTTGCACCCTCTTCAAAACCAGGTTTCCGGCGCCCGTAGGTTTCCAACGGGAAATCAAGTTTGACAGTCGGTCTCCATCAGAGATCCGTTTCTACCCCCGATTCCCCGCCCCCGCCCCTAGTCTCGGCGAGCACGCGGCTACGGAGACTGCATCAGACGCGCACGCTCTCATGATTCCCAAGGAGTGATTTTCTCCAACCCTTTCGCAGAGCGAGTGTCTTGGTGGGGGCGCCCAAAGCCAACACCAGCCAGCCAGACATCGTGGAAGGGGGAGCGGTCTATTACTGTCCCTGGCCCGCCGAGGGGTATGCACAGTGCAAGCAGATCCCGTTTGACAACACCAGTAAGTGATCTTTGTCCTTCTCAACGTGGGTCCTCGTTTCAAAGAACCAGAGCCATCGTGGAGTTAACTCCCCCACTTTGTTTCTCCTCATGCGGCCCGTCTGATGAGTTTGTGTTGTGGGCTGTCCAGGTCCCTCCACTCGAGCCTGAGGGAAGGGGAGGAAAATGAACGGTGAACCCCAGACAGGGAACCTTGGTATTTTGACCTTGAGTATTTGGATATGTCCTAGTAACTTCTGTTTCCTTACTGCCCCACGATGAGCAGTTGCAGGGTGAGCGGATGCTTTGAAGACATACAAGCGTTCCACCCTAATCTTGATTATGGAGAGAATTTGGTTGCTTCCCAAGGACAGATCTGGGAAAAGACAGATCCTTAGCGTTTCCAGTGCCCAGACTCTGGAGGCAAGACTCAGCTGCTATAGACCCAGACATCGCTCCATGTTGCTGTTTAATTCTTTACAGAAAGAAAGAATTTTCTTTCAAAATATTGGACATTGGATGCAAACTAGTACAGGCAGAGTGTGGATGGATTACATTCATTTCCAAAATCCCTAGACAGATGTTTCTTATTTAATTAAAGGGCAAATACATTTTAAACAATTCAGGCTGGTTCTGTTTCCTCTGGTGTTTTCTCTTTGGGTCCTGAGAAAATAATTTAAACGTAATGCTTTCAAAAGCATTAACACTGGATGTTTTCATTTGTACCTCTAAAACTCTATGAATTCAAAAGGTATACATTATCACAAACCAAATATCTCTTTTCAGAAAAATGTGGACTCAAATAATGGTCTTGGATGATCAACCACTTAAAATACCTTTTGCTATAAAATACCACACAACTATTTTATGACCTCATTTTTCGTTATTGTTACATTAGAGTGCATTTAGAATGTATGTAGAAAATTCATCTTCACAGCATTTAATGAAATTGGATGGGTGGTATTTACCTGTTTTTAACCGATTTGCATTTTTTTAAAAGAGAAAATAATTTCAATTCTTTCAATGTGGAAATCATTTCAAAGAAAAAATTGTATGCAAGGCTTACCTTGAATTATGACCAAATAAGGAAAATATTTTATAAAAGCATTTTCAAATTATGTCTTTCATATGTATCTATATATAGTCACAATAGATCAGTTACCATAACTCAGTTATTTCATCCCAATTTTTACAAGCTTTAACTTTTAAATTTATTAGAAATTAGAAAAATTAAGCCACTTGATGTTAATTTGTAATTATAAAACAATTAGTTGTTTGATTGGGATTTTAGATGCTTCTGATTACTGACCTCCAGCTTGACAATAAATTTCCTCATTCAGAAGAATTAAGCATCATATTAATGGCATTTTTAATAATCCATATCAAAATCATTTGTATTTTTCAAAGTCTTTAAAACTTAAGCCTTGATAAATAAAGACATAAAGCATTCATATTATTTGAATTTAAGTTAAGGGAAATAAATATTTATACTTTAAGATATGTTAATGCCTTTTTACTGGGAAGCAATCTATAGTCATGGACATGAATTTTGTAACCTTCTAGAACATTCCCATAACATACCAAATCAGGATCTGGTTAGTATATTTTTCCTTTGATAAAAGAAGAACCAATGTCTGCCCGGATAAGTCACATCTGAATACCTTTCTAAGTGCTAATCCCAGTAGATGTCATGGTTCAATAGATGAAAACCAGAGAATACAGACATCAGTATGAATTTTTAAAAACTGAACACTCCCAGCCCAAAATTTCCAGTGTTGAATTACAAAAGGTAGATTTTCCAAAAGTTCCTCCTAAAGCAACTGCTTGGAGATTTGAATTCACTTTCCCATAGAGAACTAATGCTGAAAGACTGTGCTTTGGTTTCCAGAATAGCCCACAGGAATGCACTTAACCCTTATTGGAGCCGAATTGTGTTTGCAATGAAACAGTAGGGGACAAACTAGTACAATTTTAGCAATTAAGTAAATAGAAAAATGGTAAGGATGCCGAGCAAAGATCAGTGTTACTTGGAGAAAGAGCCAGGGGTGAATGGCATCTTCTGTGCAAGTTCTGAGGAAGTCTTCTGGATATCTCAAAGGGCTTTAGAGATTAATGCTTGTGGTTCTCCGCTATGTCGTAGTTTACTTCTAAATGAATGGAGGTTTCTTAGGGTGTTTTTTTTTTTTTTTTTTGACAGACAGATGTCCTTATCCTACAATTACACTTAGCAACCCTAACCGCAATGATTTGGGGACTCATAAAAGGAGTAAGATAAGGGGTAAAAAGCAAGGAGGGAGATAGACGTTTCTGAAATCATTGAGCAAAAAGTGAAGAACAAAAACAGCTTAGGCAACCACACGTTTGTGAGAAATGAATGGTCTGTGATGGAACGAACAAAGCAGTGGTCTGTGAAAGCTTGGGCGAGTTGCCCTGAGAGAAGAGCCTTTGAGTAAAGAAAGTTCCCCGTGTTAGCCATCAGGGGGTACTGTGGGCCCAGGAACCTTGGTTGCTGTTGGGAATGGCCTGGGAACGGTGGGGCAGAAGGAATCTGGGAACCCCAGCCCGGCTTGACCTTGGCTACTGAGTGGGTGCTAGCAAGCACAGGACACCTCATTTCTACCGGTTTCTTATCCAGGTGCCCCAGACGACGGAAGTGCCAGTGGCTGCCATTTGCCGGAAAGCAGGGAAAGAGAGGAGGGGCGCCAGGAGTCAGTGTAGTGATTTCCAGTTCAAGCCTCTGTTCTTTGTGCAGAGTGTGATCTTGGAAGCAAGGATGAAAGGCAGAAACAAAGGGGTTGCTGACTCGGGCCTCTGGCCGTCAATGTTCCCACATGCTTTACATGTTTTGATCACCTACTGTATACCACTTATTTCTAATCCATAACATGTGTTTTATGAATAAGGAAATTGACATCAAACGTGTTAAAAAAAGATACACACAAGGCCACACCTGGTAAACGGTCGGTGCACGGTTGGAAAAGAGGTCTGCCTGCTATAGAGCCTGCCTCTTCACCCTGCCTTCCTTCCAGGAAAGGGAGAAGCCTGGTCCTGATAGGGTGCAAATTCAGGGTCCAATCCTGTGGAGCTGAGATATGGCTTGCCCCCGCCCCGTGCCATTCCCTCGCCCTGCAGTTACCTTCACAAATTGCAATTAAAATGATCTTCTAGAGAGGATCTGGAAGGGAAAAGCGGTTTGGGTCGGGGGTTGCGGAAAGCGGGGGTCAGAGGAGTCTTTGTCTCTACGGGAATGATGGGTTGTACATGCCCCTGGTTTGCCAGAGCTCCCCACAGCGGGCTGTGTCCCCTCACTGTCCCCAGTCACCTGCCTCCTGTCTTACTCTCTGCCCATTGACGGCAATGTAGTTTTCCCAACAGAGGAAGAACATTCCTCTGCTTGACATAGTAGTGGCTCTGAGTGCTGAAGCTGCCGTTCACGGACTAGTGTGATGTCTCAGGTAGAAATACAGATTATATTGCAAATATTCCTCTGAAAGGGTAGTCCTGACTCCCCCTGTGTGTTAGCTCTGGGCCTGCTTTTACTATTACATCTGAATTCAAGGTGTTCTAAGTGAATTTGACCTTTTAATGACATTGCTTCAACGTGTGCAGGCCCCTGGGGTGTCTACAATTTCGTGTTCACAGTGGTAACCAACTAAACTCGGCTTAGTCGTTGAAGGAGACTGGCCTATAATTCAGTCCCTGGATCTGGTTGTGATCTTGAACTTCAGTTTATGTAAGGTCAACTGCCTTTTTTCTTTTTTCAACTTCCATTTAGTTCATGTTGTTATTTTTCTTTTCATTAAATAATCGTTTATTTTATTTTTACCTCATCATATAAAGACTGGATATTACCATATCTTATTGGATTTTAAAAATTCCTCCTCACCATAAATTCAAAAACAGGAAGCCAGGAATAGCCTCACACTTCAAATGCATGAATACTATTAAAATCTGTGGTCCTTTCAAGTACGGAGAAAGGAAACCTTAGGGAAGCATATGGCAGTGGGGGAGGGGCAAAGTGCAAAGAGTAGATAATTTTCCTGCTCTGTATAAAATCAAGGAGCTGCAGAAAAGCACTTCTCTCATCTCCCTTCTGTCTTTCCCTCTTACTTCACTGGAATAAAATTCCCCCATCACCAAATTGATCTCTTTCACTTCTGCCTCAGAAACTCCCTAACCTGTGCCCCATGCCTCAAACCATTTAAAACATCGCATCTGCCAGATTCGTGTTTCGTCCTTTCTAAATCGACTCCCAGGTTCATTAGTTCTCTTTCCGGCGGTTTCTAAGCCCATGTGTGCGGTAAATAAAGCTGCTACGTTTCAGCCTTCCTGCCCCCAAAAGGGGGGAAGAGTGACATAGAGTCAGTGGAGCCTCATCTTTGGAATGATGGGCAAATTGCAACAATAGTAGCACAGGCACGGTGTGCAAATATCTAATTAAGTACACAAGTGAGACATTTTGAGCAGAAAGATAATGGCATGAGCTAATTACCCATCAGAGTCATCCTATCGCTAAGAATAACGGGGAGGCAATGCAGCTGGGAACCACTGGCAATTAGGGACCCACCGAAAGAAGGAACAGGAAGAGGTGGGGGGTGCCACTGAGACTCGGAACCCTCTGAGAAAAAGTACCACAATTTGCCTGGCCTTTATCTAGTATCTTTGTGTTTAAACAACAACAACAAAACAAAACCTTGAAATGGAAGACGGTTTGGTTAGGATTATCTCAAAGCTCTGAAATGGTACGACTTTTCGTGGGAGTTGTGTTTTAGCTTGGGGACCGGAAGGAAGCCTTTGTGTTGGGGGTCTGTTTTATTTTGTGTTAAGGAGCCCGCAGTAAGAAAGCAGCTTCAAGCATCTGGCGCTGTGACTGGTACAGGGGTTGCTTTTTGATAATATTGGGTGTGCCCTCTCTCATGGGAGGGGTTGGGAAACATATTGGTCGCATAAGTCTTGCTTTTCCCAGCTCCCTCAGAAAGAAATCAGGTTTTGTTCAGGAACAAAGAGAAGAAAAACGGAGGT